TTTCCCTACTCCACTCCCGTACTTGGGTCTAATGCTGTTCCCGCTGTGCTTGCACTTTGGAAGAGTGAAGCACTCCAAATGCTGTACCTTCAACTCTCACTGTCTGGCAAATTTCTGCAGGTCCCCTGGGTGTCACTGGCTGTCTTTACTGAGGTGTCCTTCCCCAGGCAGGAGGCCCAGTCATATTCATGCTGCAGAACTGAAACCCTTGGCCTCCCCCGTTGGCTCCATCTGATAAAGCACCTCAGATCTTGCCGGAGATGAAGCAGAAATCTAATGCCCGTGCCCGTGTGCACACACGCACACATGCACACTCATACTCACACATTGACAATTGGCTAGGTGGGCATCTTCTCAGAGGTTTACTTTTGACAACTGTGGGGAGCTAAGGAGAACCAGGTTTCAATTTAAGTCCTGCCACAACTTCACATGGCTTTTTAAAATGTCTGATTTGACAGCATTGGACTTCCACATGGCTGACCGTGGTTCAAGTCCTGGACCTAGTGGCTTGCTCTCTCATTCCCCCCCCCCTCTCTTTGACGAGAAAAAATTTAAAATAATTATAATAATAAATAAAATTTAATAATACTTTTTTTTAAAAAAAGAAGTCTAATGAGAAGAGAAATACCACTCGGACACAGGTGTCAAGGAGCTCAGGTATTGTGGTCATCCGGGGAGCTGAACCCTTTCTAGGGAGAGAATTTGAGAGTTGGGGGGAGGCAAGTGGTAGCTGGTAGAAGACACCAGAGTAAGCCCAGAGGAGGGCGATTGTGTAATGACTTGTGTAATGAAGCCAGCAGAAGGTATAGTGGTTATGTTGCTGGACCCCCCACATGGCTGACCGTGGTTTGAGTCTTAGACCCGGTGGCTTGAAAATCACACCATGTACATGTGTGCCTAAGATCCCAAGAGGCCAATAGAGGAGAAAGGATCGCAATGTGGCCATTCCCCCGAGGAGGGTGATTTTTCACTTTCTCACTGTCTCTGTTTCTCTCGCTAATGAATGCACACACCCTAAGGCAAAAACCTCTTTTAAAAAATCTGAGCCTTTTTCTTCATCTATAAAATAAGAGCAATAATATCTACTTCAAAGGGTCTTTTAAAAAATTATGTATTTATTATTATTATTAAGTTTGCTATAGAGTACATGTGCTCACCAGAGAGAGAGAGAAAGGGAAAGTGAGAAAGCAAGCTGCCAGATTCAGGACTCAAACCATGGTCAGCCATGTGGGAGACTAGCACCTTAACCACCACACCACCTGACGGCTCCTCAAAGGGTCTTTGAGATAATATAATCTAAAAGACCTAGTACTGTGCCTGACAAATGATAAGTGTTCAAGAGATGATAATGCCTATCATTGCTGCTATGACCTCTGTGCACAAAACTCGTAATTATTGATAATAACAATGGGTCTTGAAGACCTTGGGTAAACACACTCATGTGTGCAAATAACGCAACAGCTCAAGGTCCCTGAACCTCAAGAATCTGAGCTTTCAAGTTTTTTCTTCGCTGATGGTGAGTCAGTGATCTTGCCCAGGGCTTAGGTTCAGCAAGCAACAAGGAGGGTCTGATATTCTTCAGGGAAAAAATCATTTCCAAATCTCTGTGCCAAGCTATCCTTTGGGGCAAGAGCCTCTCCAACAGAAACTATGGAAAGGGGAAAGAATTATAGTCATGAAATGTGCAAACCCAGCTCCTCCTTGGACAATGATCTTGATTACGTCTGCATTAAGCCACTGCTCCCGAAACCCGGAAGCCAGCTTGCAGGGTGAAGGGAGTGATGAAGGAAGCCAATCAAGTGTTATAGTCGCTCTCTAGCGCGGCCTACAGATGTTCCTCTACCTCCTTTGCTACAGTTGTTTCAAATGCATAATGTCCTTGAGGCCTCACTTGATTTTCCATGGACCCTGAAAGAGATTTTGGAGTTGATCTAATAACCTAATGCCACTGCCTCAGTTTAGAACTGAAGAACCTGCGCCCAGGAGGTTAGAAACCCTGTAGCTACTGAGCAGCAGGATTGGAACTTAGGCCTTCCAAGTATGAGAAAGAGCAGTTTATTCACACAAGGATTTGAACACAGCTCCCTCTCTCCTCAAAGTATCTGCTCTGTCTTACTTTTAATCCACATGGTTTGAAACTCTGCTAAGCTATTGGGGACAACCTGTACTGCCTCGCTATTTAGGGAAAGTGTCTGAGTCCTGCTTCCCATAGCCAAGAGAGCATTCTCTCCCTTCTCCTCCCTTCACCAGTGTTTTGAGCCCGAACCTGCCAGTGCACTTCAGTCCCAGACACCATCCAAATCAACAGTGGGGATTTCACCTGAAAGCAGCCCACGTGCCCCTCAACTGTGGAGTTCACTGTCAGAGGGGGTCTCTAGGGCGTTTCTGTATAGTGATCGCATTCCGTAAAAGTGAATTTTATGCACGATGTTTCAGGAATTTGCCTATAATGTGAGAAATACTAATAATCCAACTGCCTGCTTTTCATAAAGCACAGCAAATTTAATCCAGTGTATGCAATCTGCAAAAACAACACTTAATAGAAACTAGATTAAAAATATAAACAATAAACTGGATCTTATTGCACTTAGTCTAGGGACCACCTCGTGTGGCCGACTTTCCAGCCCCCAGCACCCTGAGCTTGCAGGCCAGCCCCAGCCCCAGGGCACGTCGCCTCTGCCAGTCGCAGGTACCTTACCCTCTCTCGCCCCTCCTCGCTCTCCGACGAGGCTCTGGGTGCAGCTGGCCTTCCACAGCCCACGTGGCGAGAAAACAACTCTAGGAACAGACATATCTTCCCAATCTAAAGACCAGTCCCGGAGCAGCAGCTGCCTCACACAAAACTGTCAGGCCAGCCTGGGGCAGTCCCGGACTCGACCTGGGAGCGCGAGATGCAGGGACTGCGCTGGGACCGCACTCTAAGGCGCCTGGCGCCCCCTGCTGTTCCCAGGCGCAGTGGCCACCAGCGTCAGCCGGAGCAGGCACCTGCGTGGATCAGACGGAACCAGGACGGAGGGTCGTAGCAGCACCAGTGCAAGCCAGAGTAGGGGGTCGGGGAACCAGAAATGCAAATCTGGAGGTGACCTCTTTCCCCCCCCACCCCCCCCCCCCCGCCTG